AACATATATAAACAGTTACATTTCTAGTAAACCTTTCATTTCAGGAAGGGATTTTTCCTCAAATTCTAAATACTGCTCTAGTTGTGCCTATACATAAAAAAGGTGACAAATCAAAATTTGATAACTATCGAGGCCTATCACTTTTATCTGTGTTTTCAAAAATATATGAGAAGGCATTTCATACAAGTTTCCTCTCATATATTAAAAGGCACAACATTATAGAAAAATCTCAATTTGGTTTCCGTGAAGGTATAAGTGTGCAAAATGCACTACTAGCGCTGTGCAATCATATTTTATCGAACTTTGATAAGGGTAATAAAGGTATCTGTTTGTTTTTTGACTTAGCAGGAGCTTTTGAAACTGTAAATCATCCAATACTGCTGGAAAAACTTTATCATAGTGGTGTTAGAGGAACTGCGTTAAAGTGGATCCAAACCTTTTTATCGAAAAGGTTTCAAAAAATTAAGGTTAATGTGAATGGAAATATAATATTTTCTTCAGAAGAAAGTGTCCTCTCCGGAGTTCCACAGGGAAGTATCATTGGCCCTCTTTTATTTTTGATTTTCGTCAACGATTTAAATCAACTGATAAACGATAGCTCAACATGTTTTGTTCGGAATCCAGTAGATAATTTTTCTGATGCAATAAGCGTTCGAGGAGAAAACTTGGAACAGCAATCAGGCTGTTACGTCACTCAATTTGCTGACGATACCACAGTTGCACTAAATTCCAATAATTTTTCTCATGTAGTTCAAAAAGCAAACTGTCTTGTAAAAAATATGAGTCTTTACTGTTTAAATAATGCCCTAATCTTAAATGGATCAAAGACCAATATGGTAACCTTTTCACCTTCTACTATGAAGATGAGTCCATTAGTAAGGCTTGACAATGGGTCTGTGGTAAATAGCCACTCCACCAAGTTGTTAGGTGTTTATCTGGATTCTAATTTGTCTTGGAGTTCTCACGTTGATTATGTAGTGGGAAGATTGTCTGTACACTGTTATGTTCTATGGCAACTTAGGAATTTTGTCTCCCTAGAAATCTTGAAACTTTACTATTTTGCTCATGTACAGTCAATTTTGCAGTATTGCTTAGTTTGTTGGGGAAATTGCTCGCGTATTAATGAGGTGCTTGTTCTTCAGAAAAAAAAATTATTCGTACCATGACGTTTAGAAGGCCCTTGGATTCCTGTAGACCAATTTTTAAACAATTAAATATTTTAACTGTAATTTCGCTGTATATTCTCAGCTGTGTTGTATATGTAAAGTCACACAGATGTAATTTCATTTGCAGAAATGATGTTTCCTTAATGAGTGGCTACAATTTTCGTTACAGAAATGATTTGGTGACCCCTGCTCGTCACTTGACTGTTGTGGGCAAGGGTCCTTACCCAACATGCGTTAGTTTGTATAATAAATTACCTAATTATGTTAAAGAGTTAAATATTTATGTATTTAAGAGAACAGTTAAGAAATTACTTCTGGCAAACACTTTCTATTCGTTAGAGGAATACTTGCAGGCATCTTTTTAACAATTTGTATGTACCTATAGTTTTTTAGATTGTATTTTGACGCATTTCAATACTTGTAAAAGTCAGATGAAATAAAGAATATTGATTGATTGATTGACTTATAACAGAAAATAATGACTACTAATTTCTAATTTTATGAAAATGAAAAAGGTTCTATTTGAATATTTAACATTAGCTCTTAAAATACGCCTAACAAAATGTTACGTATACAGTGTACTATACTATGAAGTGGAATCATGGACGTTAAATCTAGACACAATGAGACGACTTAACGCCTTTGAAATGTGGACCTACAGAAGAATTATGAGGGTTTCCTGGGTAGATAGAGTTACGAACAATGAAGTACTGAGAAGAATAGGTAAAGAGAAGGAAGTTGAACTTCAATAATTAAAAAAAAAAAGAAAAAGCTACAGTATCTCGGCCCGTATCATATACATGTGATACGGGGCGAGAAGTATGGCATCCTGCGACTAATAATGCAAGGAAAGATAGATGACAGAAGAAGCAAAGGAAGAAGACTAATTTCATGGCTTAAGAACTTGAGAGAATGGTTTGGATGCAGCTCAAGACAACTATTTAGAGCTACTGCCTTAAAAAATTAAAATAGCTATGATGATTGCCAACCTCCATAACAAAGATGGCACCTGAAGAAGAAGAAGTCCAATTATCTCTCTCCTATGCGTCTTGTTTTGCTTCGGAGAATGAGTAACCAGTCGTCTCCTTTTTTTGGTCCAACCATCATACTGGAGATCTTTCTCTGGATCTTTTACCCGCTGCGTTATCTTCAACTATCATTCGCTCCATACCTTCTTTTCTTCTAGTTATATGTCCAAAATATCTCAGTAGTTTTTATGTTAAGTTCTGCTAGAATTGAGTTATTTGTGCGATCCACGGTATGCGCAATATTCTACGGTAGACCCACATTTCAAATGCTATTATACGCTTTGAATCGGCTTTTTTTATTGTCCAAGTTTCTGAAGCATAGGTGGCGATAGGAAATATCAATGCTCGAACAAGGCGTAATTTTGTGTTTTCTGTGATGTCAGTGTTCTTCCAAATTTTTGTGAGTTTGGCTGTTGCCGATCTGACCATTGTGATGCGTCGACGGATCTCGTCTTCGCATCCTCCACTGTTAGTAATAACGGAGCCCAAGTAATTCAATTGCGTGACCACTTCGTAACCGACATGATTTTTATCTCTGCCTTGTTTTGATGATACTTGACGTATAATATGTTTACTATGTATATTGAATAGAATAGGGGATATTATGCATCCCTGTCGAACTACAGATTTTAATTTGAAGTACGGTAATTACTGCAATCTGTCGGTGAACCTTTCCGGTATTCCAGGTCTCATTGGTAATTCTAAGCATTACTTCTATCCCTAATTCTCCCATTTCTTTGAGTGTTTCAGCTGTTATTACATCTTCTTTTTCTGCTTTTCTGAATTTTAGCTTTTTAATTGCCGTCTCAATTTCTGATTTCAATATTTGAGGTTCTTTTTAATAACTTCTTTTCTCTGTATTATTGTCTGGGTCATTGTTAGAGAATAGTATTTCGCAATATTGTTTCCACACCTCTGCGATACCGTCTGGGTTTATTATGATATTGGCACTATTATCTTTGATGATCTATGTCTGCGGTTTGAATTCTCTTGCTAGATACTTGACTTTTGAGAAAAGTTCTCTAGATTCTTGGCGGTCAACATGTTCCTCTAGTTGTACATATATGTTTTTAATATAATTATTTTTGTCCCCTCTGCACAAGTGTTTTATAGTTGTATTTATGGTGTATATGTATATTTCATTTTGTTTTGAATTTGATGTGTTGTTTCTCAGTTTTCGTCTTTCTTCTACAAGATTGAGAGTCTCTTCAGTCATCCAATGTTTTTTCTTTGGGATTAGTATTGTTGATGGCTTCAGTGATCCATTTCTTGTGTATTCCCACGTTTTGTCAGGGTCTCCAGTAGTCACTGGTAGGTCAGCTTCTCTAAACTTTTCCGAGTGTTTTTGTCTTTTATTTGTAATTGTTTTACTGTGTAATTTAATGCGAAATTCTACTTATTGTCACAGTCTGCAGCTGGTTATGTCTTCACATTGATTATTCAGCTCCTCCATCGTTTAGTGACAAGAATATAATCTATTTGGTTCTTGCATCGTCCTCCAGGTGAAGACGACGTTGATAATCTCCGAGGATGATGTTTATGCGGATGCACATTGTGTTTACTATACTAAGATCCATATCGATGGCAAATTGAAGGAGCCGTTCATTTCGCTTGCCTAAGCCATGCTCCCTATCATTACTTTCAAATGGTCATCTATTTTAGTTTTTCTTATTTTTGTATTCCAATCTCCTATTATCATCATCGGTTCTTTTTAGGGAATGTTAGAGATGATTTCATGTATCAGGTGATATGTTTCTCCTACTGTATCTTCTGCCACTTCAGATGTTGGCATATATACCTGTATAATATGCATTTTGGCTGGTTTAGCGATTAGAGTTATTTTGATTATTCGATCATTCACTCGGAAGGTATTCATGTATATATTTTGCCCAATGTTTTTGAATTAATATTGCTACACCTTTTTGTCCTGAATTGTTAGCTCCTGACATGAAAACTTTGTAGTGAGTGGCGTTCCAATGTCCTTGGTGACACACTTCCCAGTGTGTCTCAGATATCCCACAGATATCTATCTTCTTGATCAGTTCATTTTCTAATATATACAATTTACCTGGCTGTAGCAGCCCCTAACATTCCATGTTGTGATGAGGTGTTTGTTATGTTAAGTTTAATCTTCCAGTATCCCATTTCACAGATATTGCCTGGTCATCCACAATCATCTGCCTGGTCAGCCCAATTGCAGAGCACAGAATAACCTTGCTTAGTCGTCATTTCATAACACTCTCTGGAAAGATAATCAGGTGATTTACTGTTGCCTGCCTGGTTGCAGTCTCACAGTCGGTTGAACTAAGATGTAGTTGCTGCCTGTGAGTAATTTACACTAGACCTGTATGGATCATACAGCCCCAGTGCAATAATGACATAGCTGCCTATGTCTTCATACTTTATGTTTAAAGGGTAGTTTTTGAATACTACTGCTTTAGTTTGAACATAGGATACTTGATTGTAGTACAGATATTTAACAATCTTATATCATATTCCTCAAGTCATATTACTTATAGACACTTAAAATATGTTGCACTCAGTCAAATGCCTGTTCCAATGATACATAGACATTAGCTTTACATACCTAAGGTTGATATTTTCGTTTTGCAACTAATTTGTGGACCTCTTCTTATGTCTTATATAGCTTTTCTCAAACTTATAAGACCTGGAATCTTCTGGCAACTTACTGGAATGTAGTATTTGAATAAACAAAGGAATATGATTTACAAAGCTAAAAGAAACAGTAACTAAAAACCTAAAGAAATACCTAAAACACAAGTATCTAATAAAATAAACAAGGGCATAAAATCATTCATTTCTTTATTTAAATATATTTACCTATAAAGTCCTTACAAAATAAACAAAAGTATCAATCCCGCCAATTATGATTGCATTCAGGATTGCAGCAGCGGTAAAACGTAGTCATAGGTTCATCAGCTGATCTAGTCTGTAACTGCATGAAATAGGCTCGTTTATGGGAACATTTTGGACATGTTTCTTCAGTGGAGTCCACGTTTTTCCAAGCTTCTTCGCCCCCTAAGACATCGTCAATTTCCTAAAACAATATTCCCATTTTACACTGATATTTGCAGTAATTATAAATTCTATAGAGTACGATAAGTTAATTTTCTATCTAATTACCTTAAGTTTATAAAAATTCCGAACAGACATGAATTTGTTTAAAGGAAAAAAGACAGGGCAGATATTACAGGTAAACTGCAATTGTCTTTTGTACATTTTCTTCCACAAATAAAAGATTATGACAAAATGGACAAAATTCTACCATATTCGACTGCTAAAAATGATTCTGTAAATTTTATCTCGGAAGAATTCTTTTTATGTCTACATTTGTTATTTATTGATTGCATTCTATGTTCACTTCACGTGATCACGTGTATTTGTATTGTAATATTATGACTTATGACATGACGTTATGGTCACAGTACATAGCGCTCTAGTAAGGTAAGTCCCATAGAAAGATTTGAAAAGGAGTTTCTAGCGCCAAATGCGGACGGGCCGCAACTAATTTCATTTGACAGCAAATTTAAAACGTGGGTTCTGAATTTTAGGCAAATTAAAAATATATGTTCTGAAATTTAAGCGGAAAGATTTAAAAAGTATGGTTTTAATGGAAAATAAATATGGTCATAAAATAAGAAATAAAAACTTATTCTACGCCAAAAAATGTATTTTCTCTGTCCCAAAAATATATTATTACTATATTGTTTAAAAATATAGTACAGGAAGTTATTATTTTATGACCATATCTGTTTTCTATTACATTAACAAACCAAAGTCCCAAAAACAACAAAATAAAACACAGGTATCATAACACTTGTTTATTTTTATAATTTTCTTTGGTTAAGTATTGGCAACAAATATCCTCCTCCTCCTCATGCCTTAAGCCCTTGTCAGTGTGTTGGTGAGGACACTAAATATTGATAGCTTGCTGTCTCCTTTGGCTGCAATCCTGTACCAGATGGACAACTTCACGTAGGATTTTTTTCACCAATCTTCATTTAATCTTCCCATCGTGTTTGAGATCTTCCTATTGATAAACAAATATATAGATGCCTTTATATTCAGTAGTACTGGTTTGTTATAAGTTCCATAACTTCTAAAATACTCTTCCTTAAAGGATCATCTCTAGATAATAAAGTGTAAACTCTAGCATTTCTGTGATATCTGCATACTGCACGTGTATGTTCTCTGCATAAAAGTTTTGTACATTTACAGCAGGAAACAGTCGTTTTCCGGTCGCAAAAGTAGCATCCAACACGTACTCCTATATTCGTTGCAGTGCCGTCTCTGTTAATAATATTACATATGGCCTTAATACGTATTTTTCAGATCTCTATTTAAATTGTCTATTGTTGCTCGGACCCGTAGATGTTCATCCATAAGAGAAAATGCTAAATGCTTCAAAAATTTTCTTCTAAGCATTTTATATCAGCAAGGTTGTTACTTGCATGATACACTAGCGAATTAATGCCTGCGATATTTAGTATGGTGTTAACAATTACCATGGGCCAACGTCTTGTTTTTCGCGAAACATCATTAAAGGAGCATAGCGGATCAACGACGTCAACCCCGCCTTTTGTTTTGTTATAAAACGTCAGAATTTCTGGTTTATAATGTTCAAATGTTTCTCTATCTATAGCGTCGTCATCATGTACTTAAAACAAGCAATACAACTTTCTTCTTTTTGGGGATATACGACACTAAGGTACATGTATCGCTAAAGGCGAACATACTTGATTTTAGAGGAGCAGATCGTTGAAGCAATTCAGGTGACAGTTCCCTTTTGTTCTTAGAGGAATGCTAATGAACATTATCTAGGGTAATGTTACGCCCAGAATTCTTTATTGGCGCACACATTCTTTTCTGACCCACATAAACCTCCATATTTATTGTATAAATACATTTCAGCATCACATAAACTAAAAATTTTGAGCCCATACTTTGAGAGTTTGCTTGGAATATATTGTATCCAAGGGCAATTCCCTAAAAATCCAGGAAGCATTTCATCGCATGTTAAATTTTGCGAAGAGTTATATCCCGATTTACATCTATCCAGTCTGGATATCTTATCCAGTCTCCTACGTTCTTCACGATCGACCTTATCATCAAATCTAATGCATCTTAGAAGAAACCGAAATCGGGATAAGGACATAACTAGTCTAAATATTTCGATACTTTCGCCACTAGTTTGCCAGATATCTTCTGTATACAGGTGATGGGCTTTATATGTCGCTGCCAAATATAAAAGGCCTATAAGAGCGCGAATTTCAGATGGGTTTGTAAGCTTTGCATCCCGCTCCCTAGAGAAATTGCTTCATACTTTCAATGTATTTATTAGTGGATTCTACAATTATGTAAATCATGTCCTCATCAATGAAATAACTTCATATTTCATAAATGTCTTTTAACTTTTTCGCAAATCTATTAGGCCCAGGTGATTGTTTTACTAAATTAGGCTTGCTCATACGTACCCTTTTGTTTTTTTTTTTGATGCTTTGTCCACACTGTACCATCTTTTCCCCTAAAAACACTTTCTTCTTGTACATTATTCAGTAACATTTACAATATTTCCTCTAAATCCTGTTCTTGTTCGCTTTCCGAATCTTCCGACCTCTCATCAATAACTTCCGGATTTACTTCATTCTCGTCATATTCTATATCAAGCGGTTCTTCTTCCATGAGGCCTTGAAGTCTCCTTTGTTCCTTCTTATAGTTCATTCTAAAAATAAAGCCAAACAAGTTATATGTAAAAAGTTTGCTGTAGCTTAATATTTAAAAAAATTAATATTTGATTCTCAATAATAGAACAAAGAAAATTATGAAATATCGTAATAGTAATTTGCTGCAAAGTAATTTGAAATTTGATGACTAATTACATAGTAAAAGAAAGAGAGGTATATTCAAAAGGTTACTAAACAATAAGACAAAAGTATAACAGTATATTATTTAAAAAAAACTAGCGTTTATACATACCTTAAAGTGATAAGAAACAATAAAACGATTTATAAAAAACTTTTTAGCTGACTAGACGCGCGCGGAAATTATGACCTTTGCGCTGTAACTCCTAATCAACAAACCTCCCGCTACTCTGATTTAGTACATGTTTAGTACTGACTGAGTGAGGCTCCGTGTCCTTGTATCGAATGAGTAAGCTACTGAAGGTCGTGGTTGCCAAATGTAATTTTTTTCCGAAATATTAGCAATTTTAATACGTGCGGTCTTTTTGACCATGTAGCGACTAGTTAAGGGTTAATTCACCTCAAGATTGTCTCAGGAGGAAATAAATACGCTTAAACGATCAATATACTTTTATTTTCCAATACATTCATACATAAAATTTTACATACACTTACAGTTACCAAAATAAAATAAAGTTACTCTCTCTTTTATATTTGAAATTTGAGGATATAAAATACTGCTATTTTCAACATACGAGAATTACAATTTATCTACTCATTTCGCTAACAATACCACTAATGATTTGCTATAGTTAGGTAATACAAAATAAAATTCTTATTTAGGAAAACAAGCCATAGAATTTAGTAACTATTCAATTGATATTTCACTAATAGTATCACTACGGATTTGTAGGTTAGAATCTCAGGTTTTCTCCGGAGAAACAATACCTCTTTAGATATAAAGCTTTATTAAATGAATATTTATCATGGGTGCATTTAGAGATGATGGTTTTTACAAGATATGATTAAAGTAAGAGAATTGCAAGGTATGTTTGAATTTTGTAAGCCAAAAATAGAACAAATCGTTTAATAGGCTGAATTATCGAATAAGTATCAATGTATGGTTCTAGAAATACAAGTGCTGTGCGGTGAACAAGATTATAACATATTAACACTACATATTTCCAGCTTAATAAGTACCATAAATATTAATGTCACCGGAGAAATAGATCAAATTCTCAACTGGAACGTTCAGAACCGTAAAATACTACATCACATGTCAGTTACGGTGAGGTGCGTGAACCAGTGGCGGACCGTGAGGTAGTGCCATAGAGCCACGGCACTTTGTTACTAACTATGCAGAAACATATTTTTTCATCTTTCTTCTTCTTTAAGTGCCATCTCCGCGACGAAGGTTGGCAATCATCATGGCTATTCTGACCTTCGAGGCAGCTGTTCTTAACAATTGCCTTGAGCTGCTACCAAACCCCTCTCACAGGTTCTTCAACCAAGAAACGCGTCTTCTTCCTACGCTTCTCCTACCCTCTATTTTTCCTTGAATTATGAGTCTGAAGATGTTGTATCTTTCGCCTCTCATCACATGTCCGAGATATTATAATTTCCGTTCTTTTATTGTATTTCCCATTTCCCTCTCTCTGTCTATTCTCCTTAACACTTCTGTATTCGTGACTCTATCTACCCATGAAATCCCTAACAATCTTCTAAATGTCCACATTTCAAACGCATTAAGTCGATTTATTGTATTCCGGTTTAATATCCGTGATTCAGCTCCATAGTGGAGTGCACTGTGTACATAGCATTTAATTAGCCTTATTCTGAGGGCCAATGTCAGATCTTTGCTGCATAAAATCTTTTTCATTTCACGAAGTTGGTACGTGCTTTTTCTATTATGAACTGACTCTTATTTATGCAGTATAGTCGTTACTTTCTATGATTATCGTTCCCAAGTAAATATATCTTTTTACTCTCTCAATCTGCTGGCCGCCTACCGTTAATATTTTGTTTGTATTGTTGTTCTTGCTAATTTTAAGAGAGAGTCCGTATTCTCCCCTATATCTTAATATTTTGTTTATTATTCTTTCAGTCTTCAAGTCTTCCAAGTTGTCGGCTATTATGACTGTATCGTCGGCATACATACTGTTGTTAATTAAACTTCCGTTAACTTTTATGCCGACTGTCTCGTTTACCAAAGCTTCTTGTATGATTTCTTCAGAATAAGCATTAAACAATACCTGCAAAACAACGGCGACAGTATGCAACCTTGCCTGAACCCTCTCCTTATCTCCACTTCTTCTGACACTTCTCTTCCAATTTTCACATTTGATCGTAGGCTGTAGTATAAATTTGATATCAATGCTACATCCCTCACATCCACATTCTTGTTCTTGAGTATTTCTATAAGTCGGTCATGTTCTACCTTATTAAATGCCTTGTTGTAGTCTATAAAGCATACATAAAGATCTCGATTAACATCCAAACATCTTTGGGCCAGCACGTCAAAAGAAAATAGTGCCTCTCTTCTGCTCACTCCATTCCGAAATACAAGCTGGTAATGACTAATATCCATCTCCAGCTTAGCGTGTATTCTATTATGGATGATTTTTAGCAGGGTTTATAAGGTGTGAGATCGATCAATAATCACTACATTATTTGGCATTTACTTTCTTTGGTAGACAAATAAATGTTGAAGTCAGCATTTCACGTGGAATGATTTCTGTGGAATAGATTGTGTTCAGTAGTTGGACTAAAAGATCTATGTTTTTTTTTCATTGCCAAAATGTTTCCTTGTTTGTCCAATTGTATGCTTGAGGTTTTTTGTTTTGCTACTCCAGCTAATTCTTTAACTTTCTTATTTTCTTAATATTATAAGTTAAATATAAAAACCTAATTAAATTCAGCTTATCCTGATTGGACAACGACTTAAAAGGTTCATATTCAAAGTTCCAAATCTTTTAAAGGTACCTCAAAATGAACCCAAAATGAACTCCTTGAGTACATGTTGGATGTTTACCACAAGGAAATTAAGAAATTGAAAATTCTCCTTATGTTGCAATTATTTCCGATAAAATTACGTTGTTGCCGAATTTCAATTAATTATAGTTTTCCTATATTTCTGTAAAGGACGACCAGTTGAGAGATTTTATGTGCTGGATGGACATGATGCTAAGTCCATCGCTGAATGCATTTAAAATGTTTTAAATCCCTTTAAATTGCTCAAAGTTATGATGGCGCATCTGTTATGAGTGGTGGGTTATATGGTATACAAAAAAATATTAAGGAGACATCCTCCTGCAAATTACGTTCATTGCTATGCACTCCAAATGAATTTAATTATGACAAGTGCATGTTCTATCCGTAAGTAGACTAGAATATTTTTTCTAATTTATTTGGTTTGTGCTCATTCTTTTCTACATCTCTTCAAAGAACAAATTATTAATTAATTTACGGAACTGTTTTGATAAATTTTGGTCAATTTCTTGGTAGCCCAGAAATAGTATACATATATAAGATAAAAGTATCTGCGACTATTTTTTTCTTCTAATTTCCATTTGATACCTTTTTTGACAATATCATGAATACGTCACTAAAAATTTAGGCAATCGCCCAAATTCTGCCACTACCTTCTTAAAGTAATACGAGCCGCCACTGGCGTGAACTGAAGTATTTTCGCTACAATTTGCGCGATGAAACCTTACCATAATACGTTTACTGTAATTCACTCATTTAAATAGTGTGTTTTCAGAATATGATTAAGTTTATGGCTTCAAATTTGCACAGCCTGAGGAAATGATTTGTATTAATAATTGAAAATATGTTGTGTGAATGTCGTATATTACAAACAGGTGGAAGTTTTATAGTGCACCATCATACCTGGTAGTATTCTAATATATGCGGCGAAGAAAAGTATTCGAAAATATTTACATAGAATCAAGGGGTACCTTGGATGATTGTCCTTATTATTTCTAAGATATTTGGAATGTGTATGAAGTATAATAAGTAATGGATATTTATAACTGAGGTTACTATTATTGTAACAACTAATATTCAAAACAGTTTATAGGTTTTACCTTTCGATCCTCTTTCGAGTCTTCTTCAGCACGTTTTTCTGTGGCTGAGTCTCCTAACTGGCACTATAGTGCCAGTGCAGTGCTCTGAGGACTGATAATATTAATCTTAGTTACGTATAACGATAGTAAGAAAACAAAAACCTGAAATAGCACTAAAAATATGGTATAGAACTTATATATCTTCCACCATTCAAGAGGATTAATTGAATATTTTTGTTTGTGACTTTTTATAGAATATACCAACGTTATCACAGCAAAATATTGTTCAAAAATTGTAAACATCTAGTACACAAATAATATAGTATGGTAAATATAATAATGACTTCAAAATACATACAGTGAAGTTAAACATATCAGATGGTCCGTATACTTACAAATGAGTTCAAAATATATAAATAGTGTCCCAAAATCATCTTGAGACGGTCCAGTTTATAAATCATACATAAATCGTACTAACATAAAAATACCCTATGAAACAAACCGTCCCTAGATGATTCTGTATTCGACATAATAGAATAAACATAATAAAAAGTAAAATATAAGAGGTGACTTCCTTCAGTTTGATTAAATATACACATCAAAAGCGCAAAAAAATCTTTTTTGTAGTATAAAGGGTGATCCAACGGTTTAATAAAATCTTAAAATAATTCGGGCTGCAATCGTAAATAATAAGATGAAGGAATCACTAAAAAATGTGTAGGAAATCACAAGTCTTGAAATACAGAAGATCCTTGAAAAACTGGCATTTGCATAGAAGCGTACTCAAAACAGCTACGAAACTCTAGTATTATCAGGCTCGAAGGACCAAATACGCTGAAGTGAACAAAGGAAATACGCATTAGCGACTTCGGGATGAAGAAAACCAGAGTTTGTTGAAAAAGTTTTAACCCTCTACCGCATGGAAATCGATGTATGGATTCGGTAGTTTACTATTTTTTTTTTGTAAGTTTAAAGTTCAGCACATACGCAGGCATAGCATAACGTGAACCGTACATTTGTTTGGAAACCTCTATATATTTTTAAAATCTGGCAACTCTGCTAGACAAGTCAACCCAATCATGTTAGTTATAACGTGCTGTGCAATTCGATTTTTTATAACAAGTGAAATATTTATCTTCAAACATTTTCCGGCGTTTTCCAAGTAAGTAATCAATTTTTTTTTATTATTTCATGTCTAATTGGTGTTTGTTCTTTATAAGTTAGATGTTATTTAGTGATTATCTAGTTGGGTTTGTCAGAAAAAACGTCATTTAGTGCTCATCCATATATGGCTTCTTATGCATTATCGTAAAAAATATACAGATTTTGTCGAAGCCATATATGGCTTTGTATGCATTTGAAGAGTAATTTATGTAGACATTATTTGTTTTCAGAAATGGAACCCCAAAGGTTTTATCGCAGTTCTAAATATGTGAACACTATTCCCAGTGATGGAGGGTTAAGCGACGATGAATATACTGATTCAGACGAAGAATATTTACCTTCTTCGTCTACAAAACAACATCTTCAGCCCGTAGTAGTATCTGAAACTGATTATTCTGACATAGAGACATCTGATGCCGAATAAGAAATTAACGATGTAACGGCAACTACCTCAATAGAACTCAAACCAGCAAAAAAAAAACTATATCTACATCTAAAAACAAGAAAGAGAAAATATTATAAAAAGAATCAAAATTGAAGAGTTATTATGAAAATGATTATGCTTTCTTGGGAGAATCTGAATGGCCACAATGCATGCAGAGATTGGACAGTCCTATAAACTTTTTTAAATTCTTATTTAATGACGACTTATTGGAGTTAATGAGTTAACGAGTCAAATTTAAAATCAGTGCAAGATAACATCAACAAACCCGGCAACATTACGAAGTATGAAATTGAACAATTTATTGGAATCAGCGTATTTATGTCAATTTTAAAATTACCTTCTAGTAGACTCTACTGGGACTCATGTTTGGGCCAACGACTTGTATACGAAACTATGAGTTGTAATCGGTGGGAAGAGATTAAAAAATGTTTACATTTCAATAAAACAGTATTGCTACCTGGGAACTATTATAAACGAACAGTGGAGCAATGTACAGGAAATAAAGTGCCGCATAGGAAAGGCAAGAACGGTCTTTAACAAAATGAGCGCCATCTTCAAAAGTCACAACATATCCCTTGATACAAAAATGAGACATTTGAGATGCTATGTTTTCTCTGTGTTGTACGTGTTTCACTCCTAAAAACAATAACTAGTTTAAGTGCATAAGAAGCCATATTTGGGCCTGTCTATTTTTGTAGATTTTAGGTTCATTGCATAGGAAGCCATACATGGCTTATTTTTTATTTTCTTAATTACTAGAAAATTATTGTAAATTCTTTGGTAAATATACTTCTTTATAACAACAAAATCTAACATTTTGCAAACATTCTTTTTATCTAAAACATAACTTAGAGGGTTAAGACGGTGACAATTTTCATAGTTTTGAAGATTCTTCTAGGCTAATATCAATTTTGTTAGTCATAACTGTCTTTAAATAAAGCTTCCCGGCAAATTTTTGAGATTTGGCATACATAAAAAACTATGATTGTTAGATTTTGCCGAAACCTTACAAACTGCAAAGAAAAATTGAGAACTTTACTACTTTCTAGTGTCACAGAATAATAAATAATCAGAATGCCCACTCTCCATGGAAAATTAAGTACCCATCTCGTTCGCACAGACGTTCCGCCATGTTTTAAAGGGAACCAGTGTTGTTTGAGTGGTGTGCATAGAAAAATTAACCCGGTTTAATTGACTTACGGCAATCATAGACATACTATACAATTATATTAACATTGTTAAATATAATAACATAAATATAATATAATTAAACATAAATATAAACAATTACATAACCTCACAAATCATGTGTCTGTGTTATGTGTTTCCTTCTAAAACATGGCGCGCGTTCTGAAAAACATCAAGGGCGGTATCTGAGAGTGGGCATTCTGATTGTTTATTATTCTGCGCTAGTGTTATCAACTTAAAAAAGAGAACACAAAGTCAAATTTGAAGACCTATTGTATCCTTCCGACGTCAAGTTGCAACTTTTTGTTTTATTAATATTCTGTCTTGCACAGACATATATACATTTGTCAAAAATATTTTTGTTTATATCCTAGAATACAAAGAAAATGCTGATTCCCCTTAAAATAAGAAACTAATACAGTATTTCAAAACTGCAACCGAGGTCGTGAATGTCATTTCCTTCTAGTACATGTTTTAACAAAAGGTTAAGACAATAGATCCTTTTGAAGAATTGCACCAGAGAATTGACCTATTTTGGGAGAATTGACCTATATTGAAATACCTATTTTGGCATTCTGAAGTCAAGTTTTAATTTTTTATTTACTTTCTTGCAGTGACATATACAATTTTCGAAAATATTTTGTGTACACTCTAAAATATAACTAAAATTAATGATTTCCCCTCAGAGCAAGAAACTACTGGAAAACAGTGTTTTAAAACTGCTAGATACTCGCAATGATTTGCAGTAAAGAATACAGGAAGTTGATGATACAATGAATCTAGTAAACTTAGGAAGCTTGTTTAATTTCCATTAGTCTTGGATCACCCTATATTTTAACAAATTATAAATAAATTTTCGAATTCTACATAAATAATCTTTGGCAAAAACAAACAAGCGAATTTCAAATAAATAATCTTTGGCAAATAAAAAAACTAAATAAATTTAACACAAAAATAAAATCTAACAATTTTTTGTACATAAAAACTGGTAAAACCGATATTGGTAACTTTATTAATAAAATACACTAATTTTTAATTGCAAACATCAAGCTGACATAGTAATATCATATTTGGTAAAAATTAAATTGGTTTTTGATTAAAAAAATGAATTTTGATTTTTTTTTCAGTTGTACGAATAAGGTGACTGATGTAACTGTTGACACTTGTGACAGGATCAAATTCAAAGCAAAAAAGAAAGAAACATATTGTTGATATCCAAGTATAACAACTATATTATACTTTAATAGTAATCTAGTATAACAAGTAGTAGTGCCTATTACTAATCAAGCACTAATTTAAATGATTAGAAATGTAAGGTCTGTTACAGAAACCTTAAAAATTAGGATAGTAACAAGTTTTAATACAAAATTTCCACTAGTACTCCACTGCATAGTCACCACGTATTTCGGTGAGACTGTGTAAGAATATATTTATCTGTAATAAAAGAAGGCAATAAAAATTAAAATAAAAGTACTTTACCAGAAGTAGTTATTAACTGGAAAATTATCAATGACTGAGATGTATTATAATACAAAGTTTTAATATTCTCATCGATATTTACATTCAGATGTGCCTGGTATTACGTTTGAAAATATGTACAGTCGCCCAGATAAAGTTATCATCGATGCATTCTTTGCCTAAGATAACAATATTTGCCTGAGCGACCGAAACCATAAAGTAGTTTATCCAAATAAATTTCGTTTCGACCGTCCAGTGGTTTACACTTGGGTAGGTAGGTATGATATTTTACTTTATTTTAAACTTAAAATATTGTTTATTTGGATGAAATCTGGTATGGTACTCATGACACCGTGAAAAAAAGTTGGACGAATAATAACAAAAAGTGTTCTAATTCAGTACCGCCCAATAAATGACAGAATTATAATTTTACACTGCGGTGTAGAAAATGGATGCATGGACGTGTGTATTATTAATATCTGCAAAAAAAAATGAAAGACGTGAATCTAGATTATCATGAGGATATGGAGGGTTCAAGTATAAAAAAAGTTCAACTCAAGAACCATAGATGTGAACGTTCAATGTTTTTTTGAAAAAAAAAACAGAAGTTAGTTTTTATAAAACTCACAAAGAAAAGAAGTACGTAAAAATATGTAAAAGAACAGTAAACTTTATAATTTTATGAAGATACTTTTAAAATGTGGCACCAGTAGTGTGATAATAATTCTGCAGCTGAAAAGCCAGTGGAACCCTCTAATCAATTGGAATATTTACAAAGCTGTGTAGTAAAATGTAAGCGACATTTTCAATATCTCTCTGATGATCCCAAACATATTCTGAAACATGTTTATGAAGGATTGTGTTCTAAATTGTCTAAATAAGAAACAATTGTAGAAACATGTTTATCAGAGTGTCGAAAGCAACCTGCTACAAGACTATAGGAGCAACATCTTCTTCTAGACAGATGAGAAAGGATTGTGCAAATTCACACAAATAGAACCGCACCTAAAGGAACATATAATCAGAACAATATATAAAATGGATGTGGCTAATATTTTTCCAACTATAATGATCACGTAATAATGTATACCCATGGTTCAAAATAAGAGGTTGTATACCTGTACACAGGTTGTACAGTTTACATTCCACACAAAAGTGAATCTTTGAAAATTAAACTTCCATCACATTGTTCAATAATATACTGCTGAAGCGGTAGCAATCGAAAAAGCATTAGATTGGCTAGATTTACACAATTTAAATAAAGCAGTAATATTATCAGATTCATTATCGGTCATTAAAGGAATAAACTCAGATATGACTCAACATAAAAGAAATAGTATTCTTTGTGCTATTAAAAATAAACCATATAGTAAATAGATGACAGTTATTTGGGTTAAAAGTTACATTGGTATCGAGGGAAATGAACTGGTTGACCAGCTTGCTAAAGATTCGACCCATGTTGGACTCTATATTCCCATATTCACATTGGAGGACTTACAACAACATTATTATAACAAAATTTTTATAAATTGGAGAGAAAAATGGAAAAACATAACAACGAATTCAAATAACCAATATTATACTATCCACCCTACCTTACCACAAGATGTTGCCTATATTTTCAAATACGCAATGCCAAAGAAGTTGACAGCCACAATTACACAACTGAAAACTACGGTGCATTCCCAGCTCACTTGGCTAAGTTAAATATTATCCCTTGTGGGGTATGCTCATGCGATAATATATCACAATGTGACATCAACCATATTCTTTGTGCAAAAGTGCGATAAACATAAGTATGAAACAGATCAGCTGTATTCAAAACTATCAGAACTTAAAATTCAGACTCCCATAAACATTACCCATCTACTCTCCTTAGATAGTAGAGACGTTTCTTACAGCACCCAATCCACATTCAGAGTTTCAAGCGAATGATAAGTATATGATACGATTAAAAGGTTGAAGCAGTATCCGACAGTATATGCCCAATAAACCTATAAAACGTGGCTATAAAGTATCGGTTAGAGCAGATTCATGTGCCAAATATATACCGGTAAAGTGAGAAATTCCACCGAAAAAAACTTAGGAGACAAGGAGTCGTCCAGAATCTAACAAGAGTCTTAGTAAATAAACACCACCGAGTATGAGAACTATTTCAACTTTATTGATCTTCAGAGATCTTTATTGTCGGACAGAATTTATGCAAGTGGAACCGTTAAAAAAAGGATTTACCAGAGTTCAAAACTGACAAACAAATGAATCGAGGAGATTCAGATTACCGTATTTGAACAGATGAAATATCTGCTTTGAAGTGGATGGATCGCAGAAGTGTGATTCTTTTAGCAAATCACCAAAATTCAGCAACAAACGAAGTTGTAGAGAGAAAACAAAAAGACGCTACTCTGAATAAGCTTTCATGTCCACAAATGGTAGTGCTCTACAACTCACATATGGGATATGTTGACAAATTTGACATGCTGAAAAGTCTTTATGAGGTGAATCGTAAATCACACAAGTGGTGGCATAGAATATTTTTTTATTTTAGGGATGCTTGCGTCGTAAACACATTCATTCTATTTCAACTTAAAGTATGTTTTCTCTCTGAGTAGAGGCCTTATTGTAGCTCCAGAACAACTAAAAAGGGGAAGATCATCCATTGAGTAAATTCAAAAGGCATAATCCGTTAGAACTGCGCCATTCAAAGTCTTCTCATATGACCCAAAGAACTACTTCTTTGAGATGTGCCAATTGCAGCACGACAGCAAATGTTAGCAAAACATAGTGGAAATGTTCATCCTGCAATATCGAACTTTGTCTCAAACACGACAAAAATTGTTTTGCAACGTTCCATGCAAAACAATAGGAAGAAAGAATTGCTACCTGGTTTTTATTTCTCATTTAATTTTATGTTGTGCTATGTTCCTGCTGGTATCTTGAGAATACCATATCCTGCAGGATATACTTCAGGATCAGCATTGTTTATTTTGAATAAATTTGTTTTAACAATATACTAAAATAAATAATTTTCACAAAAATCCTGTTTTTTTTTAATAAAAATCGGGCTTCAGTGGGTTAAGAGGCGAAAATTAAGAAAGCTTATGTTTTTATTCAACGTTTGAATGAACTGTCGACAAAAAAATAAGAATGTAATAAAAAAAATGACAAACTCTTAAAAAACAGTATACTCGTACTTTATCTATTTTAAAAATTTATTCCACGCATTTCCTAAGAAAATTAATATATATTATAAAGTATATCACAAAGTTTTTATTAACTGTCAAAAGTGTCAACTCATAAGTGATCCACCTTGCCTAAAACTGGTAAATGGTAAAATAAATGTAAGCTTATGTTCAATAAAATTATACAACTGCATATACGAGTACATATACCTTTCCTCACGATTTAATAATTCTAAAAACTGCATCATTCAAAAGAAACAGTTACATCGTAAGAGTGTCTACAGATCTACAGGAGCTGTCACAAGTTTGAGCTGACTAGAAAACAGGTGATAGGTTCAACGTTAGACTCTGAATTGTTTTGTTTCTTATCGCAGTTCTGTTAGCTCTTGCCGACTTTATTATCTGGAGCACCATCGTTCTGCAATCTTGGCATACCATCATCTGAGAGTTCTTGTACCTACAACAAATGTCAGGTTTATTTCGGCCTTTGTGGAAGAGTTAAATAAAGGAAGGGAAAAATGTTTAAGTATATTTTAAATTTAACGTTTTAACGAAGTAACATTCACTATTATGTCTTAAATTGGATGGTCTCATGCAAGAGTGAGCTATGTAAATTTTCTTCATTTTGACTTTTTCATTACCATGAGGCAAACTTTTGTTCTAAACTTATGCCAAAATGAACTATGTGAATAAAACAAAACCTCAGTTGGAAACTAATAAATTCTATTTAGCACAAGGGTGGTAGTACTGGTTGTCATATGCCACAGTGAACCATCATCAAGTCCAACATGGCTTCCCATGCACATACTTCACATTGTCATAACATTGTTGATAGAAATTCTAGTGAAGATGAACTCGCTGATTTTAGTAGTGGGTCTTCAAATGATTACCATCCAAATTCTGATTCGGATATTACAGAATCAGGTAAGATAATAATAGTTATTTACATAAAACTTCATTATAAAAGTATGGTTATGTTTTGGAATGTTTCTTTTGCTAAAGTGAACCTTGTGAAAATGTGTATATCTTTCAATGTCCGCTGGGAGCGCTAGTGAAGTATTAGCAGTTGTACCAACGTACGAACATCGTTTTTTACCTATCTATATTGAAATAAAGCAATATATCCCATTATTATTGTATTGGAATTGTAAAAAAATTTAAAATCACATTGTTCACTTTGGCAAAAGAAAATGCAAATTGTCTGTCGTATGCATAGTGAATGTGTGTTTGAAAGTATTTTTTATGTATTATAACATGAAAAAGAAATGTTACTTGTAAAACATTTACTTATATAAAATATTAATAATTTTATGTTTTACAGATGAAGAAAAAAAATATTCGCAAGCAAAAAAGGGCAGCTGGCAAAGAATAGAGATATTGCCCGATAGAGATTGCCAGATCAGCATTTATATGAATGAAGCCACTCCTAACGTGCAAAAATCTAAATTTGGAGATCAGACTACGTACCATTCGCTGTTATATATTTTCAATATTATTATATGGAGCTGAGACGTGGACATTAAAAAAATGTAATTAAAAAAGAATCGAGGCCTTCGAACTCTGGTTATACCGCAGAGTATTGAAAATATCATGGACTGATAGAATTACAAATAAAGAAGTACTGGAGAGGGTTGGTAAAGAAACAGAACTAATCACCACTTTACAAATCAGAAAACTGGAATACCTAGGTCACGTGATGAGGGGACCAAAATATGAAATTTTGAGACTGATAATACAGGGAAAGATTCAAGGAAGATATGTTGGCTGAAGGCACAACTCATGGTTAAAGAATCTACGTGATTGGTATCAATGTAGACCAATTGATTTGTTTAGAGCAGCAAGTTCTAAAATAAAAATAGCCATTATTATTGCCAACCTCCGTAGGGAGACGGCACTCTAAGAAGAAGAAGGTAAAGAATATGTCAATACTTCAGGTACTGTCATACACTCTAAATATTTTAATAACTATTCCTTCAATTACAAAATGAAATGCCAAACTAAACGAATTTTGGGATTACTTGTTAATAATAATACACAAATAGCATCAGGTAAGCTGCTGTCATTATATTATTTGAATATTTGATTAAAATCTGAATGTTCTACATAGCATGGACAAGTTAATTTCAAAGGAATTTAATACAATCTCGGTATTTAATCATTTAAACGTTTCTTTTTTTTTCATTTAAATTTTTTTATTTTGTTTGTTTTAGAAAAGGAAAATGAAAGTAACGACGACAATCATACCGTTGACATTAATACCAATATATTTCCTTCTGATTATTCCGATGATGATCCGAACTATATTCTCTCAGGATCAGAAGCCGAAAACGAAAATTTGATTCTATCTGATAACAAGAGAAGTAATGTGTCATTGGAAAGACTATCATCAAAAAGAAAGCGAAAATTGACAGAAAAGGTTAAGATAGGAAGAAAATGAGTTAGAAATGAGAACGAATGTATTAACAAAAAAGTCGAAAGAGAACTTATTAGCGGTCTCGAACATAAGAACCTCAAAGATAAATTTACACCTGCAAAGAAGATGAAGTTTCCTTGTAAGGATAGTGGCAGATTTAAATGTCATAGCATATTAAATTTTGAAGCAAGACAAGTAATACTAAGACGAATTTTGGAAACTTGGAGATCATACCAGGCAGTGGGATTTTCTTGCAAGGTGCGTGACACAACAAGGTAAAACGCAAATCACTGTAAACAATTATAGGAGAAACTTTCCCCACAAATATAAATTTATTATTGGTAATATCGAGAAATAAATTTGCAAGACAAAGTTCTTGAATATGTTTGCGATTTATGAAACTTTTATTAGCACTATATTGAAAAAAAAAATAGTGAAGCTGCTACCATAGAAGCAGATAAGAGAGGAAAACATAATACTAGACCGCATAAGATTCTGGATAGTGTAAAAGATAACATTGTAGAACAGATAAAATTATTTCCACTTGTACCTTCTCATTCAAAGAAGAACTCAAAACGCATGTACTTTTAAACATATCTGTAATGCACCGAATGTACGTGGAATGTGCCAAACTCAAAAAATGGGATGCCGTTGCTACAGTTAGACAATACAGAGATAGGTACTCTAAACTCACAATTCAACATTGCATTTTTCAAGCCTAAGAAAGGTCAGTCAGTGTTCAGTATGCAGTGCTTATAACAATACAGATTTGGGGAATTGAACTCAATCAATGAAAGAAAATTACAATAGCCAAGTTTTAAACAAAGAATCTGTTAGAAAACTGAAAGATGTCAATAAGAAATTGTCAAAAATTGATAACTCATTTTTAACAATATACTTCAATTTGCAGAAGGTATTAGTAAGGCCCAAGTCAGAGGTAAGGTAACTCTTCGAATGATATATGGCCCTTGCAAAGACAGCGTGACAAACGAATGGGGGGCAGATACAATAACGAGCTAGAGTCTCTATTCGGAAAAGAAAATCTAGTCAGATATATAAAGGCCAATAGACTGAGATGGGCAGGGCATGTGATACGCAGTAACGACATTCGAGTTATAAACAATGTGTTCTGGGAAAGGCCAGATGGAAGAAGGTCTGTAAAACGGCCTAGAAAAAGGTGGAAAGATGCAGCCAAGGAAGATCTAGAGAAAATGGGAGTGCGACAAATGGGAATTACTGGCACAGGACCGACAAATATGGAAGGCAATAGTAAACGCGGCAAAGTCTCACGAACATAGATGATGATGATGAAGTCAGAGTAAGTAACTTGTATTATAAGAGTAAGTTTGCAACTTATAGCTTTACGATTTACGACTTGGACAATAATCAAGGATATTGTTACGTATGGCATAAACAAATATCAAAAAGGTGGCGGGATTGAATTGCAAGATGTAAATGGTAATTTGTATAAGGTGCAAAACAGGATGGCATTCAAAAAGTCGTGTTATACTCCGACAGTTGAGGAGGGTAAAACCGCAATTGTTTTATTTTTTCAACGTTTGCTCATGCATCGGTGACTTTGGATCTGGAAATAGCACACCGTTTGCTTAAGATGGGTCATACCCAGAACGAAAATGACAGCATGCACGCTGTGACAGAAGTTGCAAAGAAACGACATTCGAATATTTATACTCCTGGCCAGTGGATTAGCCTCATAAAGATGGCAAAAGTTACTTCCTCACAGTACAGAGTGAAAGAAATGTCTCAAGAAGACTACCAATGGTTCAGAAAAAGAACTGGAAGAGAACCAACACTGCGGGTGTGGTAAAGATAAGCAAAATTTGGGAAATTCATTTCGAAACGAAGAATCTTTATAAATAATTGATATAAATGTGGCGACTGCCCAAAAACTTACATCGGTCAAACTGGTAGAAATTTTAATAAACAAATAGCAGAACATAAGGGCTTTTAATAATAGAAAAACCGATTCTACATACGCACATCACCTTCTAGATAATGATCATTCTTTTAATGGTGAATCTAAAATTCTTCACATTCAAAATAAAGGCTTTAAGTTATCTTTGTTAGAATCTATGGAAATTAACAAATTAAAAAACACAGATATAATTCTGAATGACCAACTTGAGACAAACAGTTCTCCCCTCCTCAACCTATTTCATTAGAGACTATAAAGTGCAAACGCATGCCAAAAATAGATCACTTGAGAAAGGCAATCAGCTGAAACAGCTGTAGTGATAATATTTTATAATAAATTTTGTGGAAGTGTTGAAAACAAAGTTTTCAGTGTTATATTGTTACAATCCTTATAAAGGTTATTTTACCTACAGTTTTGCGAAAAATTACAAAGAATTCGACATCGCAACATCACAATTACGTAAATACCAAGAATATAAACTACCACGTTTATGCCAGTTTCGGCTGGTGTGGTAAAATTTTGCGTAGGCCAAGCCAGCAAATTACATCGTAAATTTAGCGCCATATTGCTCTAATTGAGTGATAATATTGTCCAAAATCTCAAAAAAGATCCTTCTAAATTTAGTTTTAGCTTTCTCCAAAAACTTTGATCTCCGTTATTAGACAAACTACCAGGTAAAATATCAAGTTCACTACGACTTAAGATGGGCTTAGAATTGGTTTCGCTAACAGCAATGTTGAAATGGTTAAAAAATGTAAGGTCATTTCTCCAGTTTTTAACACTTTTGGACACTGAATTGGCACACTATTGAACATCATTATTTTTCTTCTGCAAGATGTATAAGAACTCAGTTTGTTGAAATATATCACTAAAAACATTTCATAAAAATACAAATTATAAAATTCGCCAACTTACGTTTAAAACCATCTGCCTGCCTAATTGATTTTGCATTTGATTCTGGGCAATTCATTATGTTCTGAAAGACAATTTTTTTCTTTCTTGTGACACAGCATATACTACTTTTGAATTTGAATTCCATCTTACTTCACTATTTGTGGTAATTCGTTTTCCAAGTATTTTATTTAAAAAATAGGACCGTTTGGACGATTGTTGAAAATAAGCTGGAATACCTTGAAGCGTTGAGAAAAATATTTTGACTGTTGTAATGTTGGAGCAACTTTTCCGTAAAACTAAATTGAGGCGGTGAGCGAAACAATGGGTAAATATTGCTAATGGTGCAGAATCTCTCACTAATTTTTGAAGTCCATTAAGTTGTCCCGACATAACACTAGCTCCATCTTAGGTTTGAGCAATTAATTTAGCTTTACAGTCAAATTTACCAATTACACTAAACATAAGTCACGTAACGCTGGAGCACTTCGTTTTCCCCTAGATCAAAAAAACCTAAGAAATATTCTTGAACAACGCATTTTTTGTGTCCACTAATCTGCATTCTATTGAACATTGTGGCCTTTCAGTAATATCGGTTGTTTCATCAAGAATGCAACCAAAATATGTAGAGTTATGGTGTAAACTTTATACCAAGGTCTTTTACCGATAGACAGAAAAAAATTAAATGGTCTATTAAGTTTATGTAAAGCCAATTTGATACAGCAATATACCATGAGTTTTATAACTCTCTGCGGCCTGCTAGTGAAGACATTTTACCAGAGTGCTCTACAGATCAAGAAACTCGTTCCGAATCTAAACAATAGCGGTGTATTGTACTGAGCAATTAGTCGTTAATTATTATTATAATTAATGTCATAATGTCATTATAAATACATTGCTAAAAGTAAAATATTTGTTAATTTTATTTGTTTTATTATTGTAGTACATTTTATATATGAAATTTTTGTCGACGAAGACTGCAGTAACTCATGCAAAATCCAAAATGGAATATCTTTATGAAATTTATAATCGTTTGCAATTCTGATTGTACAAATAATTACTAAGAGAAAAATGAAAAACGTAGTAGTGATAATTAAAAAATTTCAGAACGTCACTTTTCACAGTTATTTTTAAAAGCAATTATCTCGGAATGAGCGATTTTGAGTTGCGACAGTTTTCGTTGGGAAGGTCGATATATAAACACATGATTTATTTGTAATAAAAAATCTTAATTTGTTACTTTGTAGAAGCTGAAAATGGAGTTAGTCAATGCAAATTCATATTTCTTTAAACACTTACCTCTCCGCAGCCCGCGATACTCTTGCGACGGCAGTCGCCCTCGTCTTAAACTTGTTCAACGCACCGGCTTCGTTCGCCTGGTGCGTGTCCATGCTCGATCCGGACCTGCTGCCTCCAGGACTGATATCTTTTGAGCCGCCAGCGGATTCAGGTCTATTGACTAGAGTTTTCGATAAAAACTGGTTGTCCTCTTCTGGTGTACACATTATACTCGGACTTAGCAACACTACGGGTACACTAGAGAAATGTTCCATGGGGATGTTCATTTTAGAGCAGCATTTGGAGCAGACTGTGCGTTTGCAGAGCGTGCATCTTTGACCCCACGGACCGAATATGCCAAACCGAGTTTTTAAACAGAGGAAACATACTTTTCTGGATTCAACGTCGTGTCTTACCTAAACATACGGATGTGTTAGTAAAATAGATGTAAGATTAACTCAAAAAATGTTTACGGCATATCATATTCTTCTAATTTTGCAGATATATCTGTAGTAGAGTAATGTATTTATTTAACTACATAACAAATACAAATATTGTTTGTAGCAAGTAAAAAAGGATAGTATGTAAAAAAACTGTAACTTAAATATATACATAACTAGAACACACATTAAACAGAAAAGGATTTATTAAGGCAAAGTTCCGGTAAGCAGTTCAGTGGATGTTCTGCAATGGGTCATATATTCTTCTGAGCAGTAAAACCGATGTTTTAAAAGATATTTTTTTATAATTTATCGAAACTATTACAGCTTGGCTGTTTAATACCTTTTGGTAAAATATTGTAATAGTTATAAGTAAGGCAATTTTTTTCTGAAAGACTTAATCCACAGCGATTTGTTCGTAAAAAGTGACAGTTTCGCGTATTGTGAACGTGGACCTCAGACTACTTTATCAAATGGGCACGTTTTCTGTGAATTTCAGTTAGAATAATTTTGAAAGTGCATTTGTTGAATTGCCCCATATGAATACACCATAGTTTAGGAGAGAGTGGAATAAAGAAAAATATGTCATTTTTAATGTTTCAAAGTTGACAACCCTACGAGAGCTTAATTTCCCGACTAAGCACCCCCCACCACCTAAGCTTTTGGGAATGGAACAGTTTGAATTTGACAGTTTGACATTTATGAATTTGTTTGGACTTAACCTAACTTTATTTGATTTCTTATGTTTATATTTGGTGTCTTATTATTATTTTTTTATATAAATGCCTGTAACGTGTAAATATTGTGATAAAATGTTTTCAAGACAATTTACTTTAAATAGACACGTCCCACAAATTCATTTTAAACAGATTGAACGCATATTTTATGCTAAAAATGTATGGGGTTTTAAATGTTTGGAACTTGATTGTGATAATTCCTTTCAGCAAGGAAAATTTTTAATTAATCATTTGGAAAATGTTCATAATTTAAAGTTTGAAAGTCAAACAATTAATTTTACAAATATCGATGGTAAGTTTTATTTTAATATTTAATTTAGTAGGATATATTTTGTTAAAATATTGTAGAATATTTCTATTAACTTAATAAAATATAATTAAAAATATATAGTAATGGACATTTCCTAATTTAATTTTTTTTGTTTAAGAATTTATTATTTTGAAACAATCAATGGCAGAAACATCCTGCAGCTTCTATGTTGTGTCTAAATACAAGCAAGATAAAAATATTACGTACTTTAATTGCAATCGGAGCAAAACATGTAAGACACTTAACCTATGATAACTTCATATTAGATGGATACTATATAATTATTTATAATTTAATTTTTTTTCTTTGTAGCTCGTGATGGAAAGCTATATTAAATAAGCAATACAAGCAAAATCATGATTATTTCTGTACCGAACAACAATTATCTTTACCCTCACTCAAGAACCGTCGTAACATGTCAGGAGCTATATTTATATATAAGATCATACATGGATTTATTGATTGTCCAAACCTGTTAAGCCAGATTAACTTTAATGTTCCCCATCAAGCTCTACGGTAACACAATGTTTTCAATATTCCTTTCCACAGAACAACCTATGGTATTCACAACCCATGGAATAGATACAAGGGGCTATTAAATGATCGCGATTTTGATATTTTCAATATAACTTTAACTCAGTTAAATTTTGTTCTTGTTATACTTTGTTTGTTTTTTAGTATGTAAGATTTTTAGTCTCATTTTTTTAAACTTTTTAATATTAATTTTATATAGCAATTTCAAGTTTTGAATCCTAACTGTGATATTGTATATTGTAATTTAAACTGTTAATGGGGTTATCCCGTGTATTAAATAAATAAATAGTACACTGACTGTGCTATTTAAATAAAAATTAAAATACTTAATTGTTATATACTACATGCATCTTGTATTTATTTCACCTTTCCCTAAATTGGAAACAACTGTAAAATGTTGTGGTACATATACATTGTATACCCTGTATATTATACAGGGTGTTTACAGTCTTGTGATTTTTTTTATAGGTAATAGTTAATCAAAAAATAATGGTATGTCATCTAATAACACAAGAATATTCTTATGAAATTTGGTAAGCATTATTTATGGATTGATTGTACAGCTACTACAAGTTTTGTTATAAGAGATATAAAGAAAATTCGAAAGGTTGTTTTAAATAGAATTTACTTACAAAAAATGGTTTTGGAAATTGCATATTACAGAGGCGTACTGAAATTTTTCTTTAAATTATAAACGACATATCCCGAATCTATGTAACTTATTTAGATTATTACACGGTTCTTATACATGTAGTGTCCATTCAATCTATACGTCATGTACAGCAAATTTCATTTGAATATTCTAATGCGCTAAAGAGATATTACAAAAAAATCTAAATTTTTGAAAACTTCAATGGCCTGTATTTGAGAAAGGAACCAAATTCGATCATCCACTAATCTACAAATACCGTTATTGCTGACAACACCACTTAAAAATAAAATCGCAAGACTGTAAACACAGTATATACATTGTAATATTTTCTTCTAAAAAATACGACTATTTACCTCATATCTGTTCTGTACAAGCGTAAACGAAGTATATTATACCAATCATTATTATATTGGAATTTTTTTTAAGTTTTTTTTACAAACTAAAATAATAATGAAATGATTAAATGTAGCAGGTGTTATTATTTACAGTTTTCTAAATAAAAATTACTATTAAAAAATTAAATTAGTAGGATTTATAATTAATTCTGTAAAAAATATAGATATAGATTGTGTTACCAAAGTATGTATAGTTGTCATCGAGCAAAAAGACAATAGAGGGAATGTAAAGGTAGTGGGGGCAAACATATTGTTAGACAGGAAGTGCGATCTTTAGAGGCCACATTAAACAAGGAAAGAGAGTCTCTCTCCTTGTTTGACATCAAATTTAGTTGGGTTATGTTATTGTTTGTCCCAAATGTCACATGAAATCTTATTTATATTGAAGTTTTTTAACAATTGTGTCGCATTTTAGACTCTTATCATTAATAATTAATTAAAACTTTCTCGTCTCGTCGACACATTCTGCGAAATATTATATAGCTACTGTTGATAAGTGTCGGAAAATTTAAATTTGGCGCATTCGCATTTCCGGATATGTCCGCCATCAGAGGCCACTTTTTTGGTCTCCTTTTCATAAGGATTAGATTCCCTCTTTTGTCTTATTGCTCGATGATAGTTGTATAGGAATAAAAAAACAAAAGTTTAATACAATAAGGACCGATTGTTCGAACGCTAATTAAAACTCAAATATTTAATTAAAATCAAATAGGAAACATTTTGAGGTTATGTTGACTGATTTATTCAATTGTATGATTTTGCTTTTTAATTTAAAATAAACCATCATTAAACTCTTTCTGACGTTAATTTCATGTTTTTATTTACAAATCAATAATAATAATAAACAATTTTGACAACAGCTTTGATGTATTTGCAAATTCAAGTTTTGATTAGCGTTCGAACTACCGGTCCTAATTGATACCATATATTTCAAACTTCCCGCCATTCGTTAAATCCGTGCACATATAAACAGTAGTGGGGGGTGCTGAGTCGGGAAATTAAGCTCTCGTGACAACCCTTACTAGTTATCAAATAACAAATAATTTAATTAATAGCTTTTTCTTAAGTTGTGAGATATGAGTCGAGCAGTTCAGTCGATTATCTATGGTTATTCCCAGTGGTTTAACATTCTCTTTGTTATCTGGATCATCGTGTAAATTACTTGTAGGTATAAACAAATTTTTCGTTGTATCAGAGTTAAGTTTTAGTTTGTTTGCAGCAAACCATGAGCTAGATTTAGTAGAAACTTCCTCATGAGACATTTTTAAATCATCATGATTTTTTCCTGATATAACGTAAGCCGTATCATCTGCGAATTGAAAGGTTTTGTACGGAGATATGAATTTAGGCAGGTCGTTGACATAAATAATAAACAAGAGGTCCTAAGACCGAACCTTGTGAGACTCCATGTTTTACGGATGGAAAATTGGAGAGATGACCTTTAGACACTACCTGGTAGTTTCTATGCGATTGCCGCGTTCAAGCCCCTCAATCACCTCGCTCACAACATTAAATAATAGGAATCAAATTGTTTTTTGATAACCTTTTCAATAATTTTCCCAAAAGTAGAAATAATGCTTATTGGTCTGTAATTGTCAGTTTTTGAGGAATCACTTTTTTTGTAGATTGGTAGTACTTTTGAGTATTTTAGTACTTCTGGAAATACTCCAGTTAAGAGAATTAAATTAATAAAATGAGCGAAAGGTGTTAAAACTATTTGGTAAGTTTCTTTTAAAATTTTGCTATTAATTTCGTGAACGTCCCTACAATTAGAATTACTAAGAGACTTTATTATTTGAGAGACTTCTTCCACAACTGGACGAAAAAAAAGGACTTGCTCGGAGTGGGAAGAGATGTAATTATATTCTCCGACGTTGTAGTAAAAAATTGAATTATTTCATTACTTTAAAAAATTATTACAAAAATTGATTGTACCGAACTCGATCTTGTGTTGTTTCTTTCGAAATTTACTATTTTCCTGCAGTCTCTAGGTTTATTATTGGAATTAGTAATAAAATCACAGTAAGCTGACTTTTTAGCCATTTGTGTAATTGCCGATTGTATTCAAATTTTTGTTGTTTATATACTTTGGACAAATCGGGATCCTTAGTGGCATCTGTAATGTGTTTAATAAGAGAAAGATTAGATATGTAAGACCTTAATTCATTATTAAATCATTGTACGGGTGTTAATCCTTTGCAAGTCCGTTAATAAAGAATTACTATTACTTTATAATCGAAACTATCGACGTGTGCCAGCGTTTTTTGAACACGCAACCATTTATTAATTATCTAATTTATTCTATTTGGTAGTTCTACCCTGTATAAGCTCTTTATGTGAATAATTAC